TTAAAGAATATTTATATTAGACAGACATCAATCCATCCATTCCTATTCCTTTAATATGAACTCCATAACTTCAACATTTTTCACCAATTTTCATATATCTTGGTACCAAATGGTAGGGAATTGCTTACTCTTAAAAGAATTTAAGCTGTCATTACTATCATTTCAAGATTAGGAAGATATGTAATCTCAAAGTCACCGCAAGCGCAACTCGACAGAGACCTGACCGCTGGGTTTATCAGCTGATAAGCATGTAAACATACCCTGAGGTCAGACTGTGTTACTGTTTATATCAATATTTTGTTCCGAACGGAAGTTCTAAATATAACCCACTAACCAGTCAATGACCCACAAAAAGTAGACTGTGTCACTGTGTTTTGAGATAAGAAGTGATAAAACGGAAGTTGTAGATGGACAACCAGATGTGTACTTTTCCATTCTTAAAATGCTAAATTTAGACTGGAGATTCCAAAAGTCATACTTTTCGTAAGTTTGAGCCAATCGTGATTTTCTTGAGCCAATTTAATTATTTTGGAGTCAATTTGCTCATTGGCTCCTGCCAGCGCGAGCCCTGATAATCCTATGTAGATTTTTTCCTGCCTGGTATTGGTACATTTAACCTGGACTGTATGATTTTAACTATTTCAGTTTTATTTTTCAGTGCCATTTGATGAAGATGCTCATGACAAATCTGTCTGGTTTTTGGACCATGATTACCTGGAGTGCATGTATGGAATGTTTAAAAAAGTCAATGGTATGTGACTAAAAGGTCTATTGTTTCTAAATTAAGTGAATACAATTTGTATTTCATGATAATTAAAAAAAATAAAGAAAGAAAGAAAAAGTTAGTGAGGGTAAACTAATTGAGTACAGAAAAAAGTAATAGAAGTGAAATTAAATGTCTTGGTTGTTTCAAAAGAGATTGTGAAATGTTTTCATTCATAATAGTAAAATGAATTATTTCAATTCAAAGTTCACTTTTAGATGCCATCAGTATATATGCTTTCATCATTACAGTCTTCGAAATTAACATTTTGAAGTTACTGGCCAATCGGGCCAGTAACATTTGAGAAGTTACTCGCCCGAAACCAACTTTATTAGCCCGAATAAATTTTTCAAATTTTGATGTTTTTTTTTTTATCTTTAATGCTGAATGTAAATAAAAGAAACAAAAGGAAATCCAATACAAGTCTTGTGACATAATTTATTTTATTGTTATTCCCTGCTGTACATGAAAATTATTTTCACGGTTACTACGATACAATACTTTACAGTCGTTTGACAATGGAAAACGGAACTTAAACAAAGTTGGTTCCCAATAAATTACTCGCTTTACATGGCTAACGGAAGTAAGCCAAGAAACAGTAGTGACATGACAAAAAGTGCGTGTTTGAACACCATTATAATGAATTTGGCGGTCGAAAATTTACTCGTCGGGCGGGCGAGCAAAATTGGATTTTTTAGTCGCCCGAATTTAATATTTACTAGCCTGGGCGATTGGGCGAGTGCTAATTTCGAAGACTGTCATTATAAATAATATTGATGTAGATCTATCTGATAATCAGTGACTTTTAAATTAGAATTAATTAAAATTGAATTAGATTTTTATTTGAAATACATGTATTAATTCAAAACTTGAGTGACTTTAATGAAAAAATCTATCCATGAAAAAAATCAGAGTGACCCGATAGAAAACGTCTATACAAGAAAAAGTAATTTTGTAATCTTGAGTAATCAGTATCTATATAATGATGTTATTTAAGGGTTCTTGATTGTTCTTCCTTTAAAAGATACAAGAATGTTAATGAGTATGAGTTAGAGTTTTATCTAAGGGAGATAGAGGTTTAAGTCTTGAACAGCTCTATAATAATTCATATGTTTAATAAATAATTATAGATGTTTTATTTTTCAAGTAGACTAGAATCTTTAGACGGATCATATGGCAAACATTTGCCAAAGACTCTTACAATTTATTATTAGATCAATAAAAGTATTTTTGTTTCACAACTTTTTCAAACAACTTTGCCAAAAACTAGCTTTTTGAGACAATTAAGGAAATGTCCAAGTTTTCAAGAAATGGTAGAGCTTTCTATATGTCTAAGACTTCCATGTTCTACATTTGAATTAGGGAGATATAGAATTATTCAGTGTATTATTAATTGATAATTTTAGCATTAAATTGAATTCATTTATCTTGCTGTGACTTTATCTCTTGAAGAAATGTCCGCTAGTCTTTTGTATAGTAATATTCACTTACTTATATTTATAATCTTAACAGCTAAAGAGAAGATAGTAGGCTGGTACCATACTGGGCCAAAACTTTGTCAGAGTGATGTCACTATTAATGAACTGATGAGAAGATATTGTCCAAATTCAGTAAGTGACGATTTGTAGCTGGTCTGTTTCAAAGAAAAAGTCAAGATTTTATTACTTCATCATCATTGTTGTGCAAAAACTTTTAATAAATGTAGCCCAAGCGCTTTTCTCAATGTATAAGCACAAAATTTGGAGCATTTAAGTAAAGAAAAGACTTCCTTAGAATTGACCCAAAAAATCCCACGAAAACATGTTAATTTTACCTTTGTTTGACACTTCTATGAAAGTAGATTAGTCTATAATGGAAAGTCTGTAACACTTAAGATGTGGAAAATGTTAAGTATCATATGAGACAAGAAAGCACAAAGTTGCTGGAAGGTACCCATTCAAGTTTGTTCATTCTGATGAACTACTGGGAGCATCATTGCCATAATAATGGCCTTGATTTGTTAAGGTCTATTATGCTTTAAATGATCAAAGATAAGGTATTAATACCGTATTCTACAGTTCTATTGTATTCTATCAAAATTAATTTTTAATATTTCTGTAAAAGTGTAACATATGTTAATGTTGACTGAAGTTTAATAATCCATTAGTACAAACAAATTTTTAAGCATATTCTTAATTATTATAGTTCTCAATATATTTCAGGTTCTTGTAGTTATAGATGCCAAGCCAAAGGATCTAGGGTTGCCTACTGAAGCATACATAATGGTAGAAGAGGTCCATGATGTAAGTTTTAAGTAACTAAACTTTAATTTCATCTTACAGAAAATGAAGTCACAATTTTAAAAGGCCATTCTTACTATTTCCCTTATGCCAAACAAGTTAACATAATGTGAGGTGAGCAAGCCCTTTTTGGAGGCTCTACCATTACATTGTTCTATTGAACTGCAATATTTGAGCTAAAGGCTTTTCTCTAGTTATTTTTATTGTAGAATGAATATTCTTTGAAATTATTTCACAATTAAAGTTGTGTTGATTTTCTGGCACCAGGTAACAGAGTCACATGATGGTAATGTAGTGTTAATTTATGTATATTTACCAGTATATGTATAATTTACTTATAGGATGGTACACCAACAACAAAGACATTTGACCATGTACCTAGTGAGATAGGGGCAGAAGAGGCAGAAGAAGTTGGTGTTGAACATCTGCTCAGGTACTGTAGTATTTTAACCAGAACTGTCAATGTTTTATATATATGTCTGTGTGAAACACAAAAGCATTAGAGGTCATATGGTGAATTTCAAGCTGGTGGAGTAAGACCTCAGGTGCGTCTCCTTGCATTATTTCAGGCACAATTGGGCACCTGAAGTAAAACCACGGATGATCCTTAAACTAGCCGGATAGCTTCCTCACAGAAAGAATTCAATAATTCTGCTATTTTGTCTTGTTGATCAATGTGAAAATTTTTGATATTGAAAACAATGTAAATAAATGAAACAAAAGACAACTGTGATAAGGTTGTAGCAGTCCCTTTGTTTTTAATAGTTTGAACACAAGTTTGTGAAAGTTTACCAATGTAATTTTTTTAGTGATAGCATTCATGTAAGATTTAAAAACTTTGCTCAAATTGCTCTATAGGCTGTCAAGTGGACAACAACATAAAGAGTACTTACCTTCGTTGTAGTTTCTTGTCCCATTATATAATGTGCTATGTTAAATTGTCATCAGAAATGCTACTTTATTTAGCATATACATGACAGACATATATTTTGTATGTAAACTAAATTAGATTTTTTTTACTGCTGTTCAGTTACAATAGACATCGATTAATTTACATCACGGTAGTGACTATAATTTTGATCTACATATACTGATGAGCCCCAGCTTCTGTTTTTTTAGTCAGTCACTTAATAGATAAGTTCTGAATATTGCTGGAAATATAAAATCACAGAAAGTGATGATCAAATCCTTGACTGTTCATATATCTCTTAAATGGAATGTGAATAGTAAGTGTCTCAATAAAGTTAAACCCTGCAATCATCCTTAAGAAAACCTTGTGTGGATTAAGTTTATAAATTCTAGTCCTTAAATGTTATCTAATATTTTTTCACTTTTTTTTTTTTACCAGGGATATCAAGGATACTACAGTTGGCACACTATCTCAACGTATCACAAGTCAACTGATGGGACTGAAAGGTCTACACGCTCATGCCCAGGATATAAATAGCTACCTACAGAAAGTCTCGTCGGGACAATTACCTATAAATCATCAGATAATATACCAGCTGCAGGACGTGTTCAATCTACTCCCCGATGTTAACCTTCAACAGTTTGTGAAAGCTATGTACGTTAAAACGAACGATCAAATGTTAGTGGTATATCTGGCGTCTTTAATAAGATCTGTCATAGCTTTACATAACCTTATAAACAATAAGATTCAAAATCGAGATGCTGAAAAGAATGAAGGAAAAGATATTACTAAGGAGAAGAAAGAAAAGAAAGACGAGAAAGAGAAAGAATCAGGAAAAGATGGTGAAAAGAAAGATAAGGAAAAGGTGAAGGATTCAAAGAAAAAATGAACTGACCTATAGGACTGACTTATTTAATATTGTAACAGTTTCAGATGCATATCTGCACTATACTTAAACTTTCTTGATAAAAAAAAATTCAATATAAAAAAAGTTGTAGTCAAACTACATGTTATTCTGTATGTTAGTTTTTAAGACTATGTGAATTATCAAATTTTGAAAGCATTTATAACTGTCAAATGTGATGTAATGTTGGAGGTGAAAATTGAAGTCCATTCAGACTTTAATATTATGTGAAATAGTGCTAAACATTATTACAGCTTTCATTTATAACAAAATAAAATTAATTCATACATTTAAAGATTACTTGTTCCCTTTAGATAAAATGTACAGACTTCAACCTATTAATCAAATTGTTCTTGGGGTGTCCGTGGCCAAGTGGTTACGGTTATTGACTTCAAACCACTTGCCTCTTACCACTGTAGATTTGAGTCATGCAAGAGTCTTCAGATTTTTAGCTCGACTATACGAAGTATATGGAGAGCTGTCCTACTCGCCCCGGCGTCCGCGTCCGCGTCCAGATTTTAGATTAAAGTTTTGGTGCAGTAAAATATTTTTCACTATAACTTTGTCATTTCTTAAGGTATCAACTTCAAACTTCAAATATATGTTCCTTATCATCAACCACATCTTAAGTGACAAGGTTCATAACTCTAGCACCAATATTTTCAGATTTATCTCCCCTTGAACTTAGAATTTTCCTTAAAAAATACTATTTTTTACTGATACTTTTTTATTTCTTAAAGGATCAACCTCATACTTCAAATATAGGTACCTTATCATCATCCTCATCTTATGTGACAAGGTTCATAACTCTAGCACCAATATTTTCAGATTTATCTCCCCTTGAACTTAGAATTTTCCTCAAAAAATACTATTTCTTACTGTTTCTTCTTTATTTCTTAAGGGATCAACCTCATACTTCAAATATATTTACATTATCATCATCCCCATCTTATGTGACAAGGTTCATAACTCTAGCACCAATATTTTTAGATTTATCTCCCTTTGAACTTAGAATTTTCCATACAAAATATTATTTTTTACTGTAACTTATTTATTTCTAAAGGGATCAACTTCATACTTCAAATATATTTACGTTATCATCATCCACATCTTATGTGAAAAGGTTCATAACTCTAGCACCAATATTGCAAGAATTATCTCCCCATAAACTTAGATTTATTTACTAGAAAAATGTTATTTTTATTTTAACTTTTTTATTTTTAAAGGTATCTACCTCAAACTTCAAATACTTATTCCTTATAATCATTTACATTTTATGTGACAATGTTCATAACTCTTGAAGCAATATTTACAGATTTATCTCTCTTTGAACTTAGGATTTTCTTTAAGAAATATAATAACTTCTTTATTTTTTAAGATATCTACTTCAAACTTCAAATATATATTTCTTATCATTACACAAATGTTGTGTGGCAAGGTCCATAACTCTTGCATGACTATTTCTAGAATTATTCCCCTTGATCTTGGAATTGATGTTAACAAATGTTATATTTTTACTAATATAACTTAATACTTAATTATACATAATTGATTTATCTTTCATAGTTTTGTCCTCCTTACTGCGTCCAGCATTTTATTAGTCGAGCTTCGCTGTCTCCTGTGACAGCTCTTGTTTATGTGAAAAAGTCATCCAATCACCTTACAGAACGTCAAGAGGTTCTACTCGGGTGCTAGTTTATGCCTACAATAATGTAAAGACAAGCACCTGAGGTTCTCCTCCACCAGTAAAGCTGGAAAGTCGCCATATGACCTATAGTGTGCTGTTAAACTCACAAAAAAATATCTTGTATTCAATCTATGAAAGATTTTTGAAATTATCTGCAAAAGAAAAAATGAATATTTAAAACTTTCAAACTTTCAATAAATTTATAATTCCAAACCAGTAAGTTACGGTAGAATATCATTATTATTGACACTAAAAGCTAGACCCCAAGGTTTCTAAAATTGTAAAAGTTGATGAATGCTTGAAATTTCAAAGACAGGCATTTGATGTTCATGCTGGGGAAAACTGCCTTTGAACAGCAATTCTTTACTTTTCATATGGAATGTTTGTGAAATAATGAAAGTCTCTTTATGCATGCAATAAATGTGTCCCCTACAGACTTTGGCTTTATGTTTCAATACAGTGTAAGTTGGAGCGAACCATGTCCTTTATCAGGTCTCAGACAGTCACTGTTAAGTTTTCAGTGTGAATGTTATGAAGCAGCCTCAAAATGGTAGGTTTTACTAATTCATACAATTCATGCATTTTAAATCTCGCAGCTAAAATTGCAGTCAAAATTTCAAAAACAATACTTGAAAAATAAGATTTTTATCCTGGAAAACTTCACGGATGCCTAAAAGACCTTCACAAGTGTGATGAGCTATGTGTTGGAAATGCATTAATTGAATGCTGCCCTTCCATGTTGAGCTTTGTTTTCATATTCTATGAATACTGCTTTGATAGATGAAGGTTTTCCATTTGGTTTCAATATTCCACTTTTTCACTCAGAAAACTTACATGATTACCTTTGTAAACACGGATTTATATTACGTCATATTAATCCGTGTTATAACCAGGGAAATTCAATAAACTTTTTGAGAAAACTGTGTTTTTTTGGATATCAACGAGAAAAAATACATTCTTTGTGTATACATTTATATGCAAGGGAGGTTATTCAGTGGAATTTTATATTAAAAGAAACAAAGTTGTGTTTCTTGTCTTACTAAGTGTGTGAATCTCAAAAACTTGGTTTCTTTAAAAAGAAACAGTTAACATTTGTTTGTACAGATGGCACACTTCATCCAATAATTGTATATACATGGCAAATTGTTGAATTTCAATTTAATCAATTGGCTATCTTTGAACATTAATTTTATATTTGGTTTGAAAAATGCTTGAATTCAATATTTGATGTAAACCAGTGTAATTTTACAGTAAAAATACACACAACATAACCACTAAATAAAGTATACCATATAAGAAATTTCACATGTGGAACAATCTCTTTTCTTGGCACTGTTTTAAAATAATACCACCAATTTAAAGTATATTTTAAAATGTCAATCGCATTTTACAGTTATATAGCCATACAAGAAATAAAATTTTAGAAGCTATGACTGAGCAACTCCACTTTATCAAAACTAATCAACATTAATTTTACACGATCATAAAAATTTAGACTGGGTATGTGTTCATGCTAGTGGACACCTTTTTGTAACTGGATAATGGTGGGAGGTGGAGTGGAGGTGTATGCAAAGTATAGCAATGAAATGTAAAATAAAGTATTCTTTAAAAAAAACAAATTTTTAATGGTAATCTCACTACATTTTGGAAGATCTAGTTAAACTAAATTCAAGTTGTACTTAGACAGGCTTTTACACATAGAATAAAGACCCAAGCTATGTTGGAACATCTTGAAAGATTATATACTAGTATTCAAGTAATATTTTGATCTTGAAATCCCTTTGTTAACAATGGGCAGCAATAAAGTCACATTAGAACTAATTTGGTTGAAAATGCTTTATGAATTTCTAAATGTGTCTTAAGGTAAATCTGAATGTATAAGAGGCATATCCCAGAACACAGATGCCTGCACATTCTATTGTTTTGTCAGTCTACAGACAAATGCTTTGATAGAAGGATTGATAGACATGATGAAATCTAAATGCCTCTTCTACCCACACTTAAGTGGGTGCACTAAATCAATGTAGCAAAAAATTGTATATTATATTTATAATTCCCTAAATTCCTTCCCATAAATCTATAATATTCAGATCAAGTCACTCTATAAAGGTACATGTATACACAGATAATAAAAGTCAAGATTGTTTCTGAAAATGATTTAATAATATTCTTATAAATAGCACAAAAATGTAAAATCGAAATAATTTATTTATAATTCATTCACTTAAAAATGTAAAAACTGAAATAAATTCTTTATAGTTTATTCACTTTTAATATTGCCTATCTCTTGATAGCCTAAGAAGGCGTTGATAATAAATAAGTCAGTTACAGCAAGTTTTCAGACTGCACCTTGGTATGAATATATTACATCTTGGTATAAATGTATTGCAATAACAGGGACAAAATAACTACAGACAATTAACTTATCTCTAGCATTGGTGTTCATGTCAAAGCAACAATATATTTGATCCTTAAAGGCACATTATGCCTCAGAATTGAATAGCTTTTTAAAGGGACTCCACTGAGGTTTTTTTGACATGACGGGACTGAATATAATTTTTTGAGATTATTACTCTATTTGATGTAGATCTATTCTAATAACTTATGTGAAAAATTTCAGATCATTAGCTTGCTTCGTTTTTCCAGAATAGTTATTATAACAGTGAAAAATGACCCAAAAGTGAAAAGCGTTAACGCCTTTCACTCAAATCGGACTGAGAAAAGCACAAACATACGATTTTTAATGTATTTCTTGTATATTTCTTAGTTATATTTTATTTATATTTCTGTTTAAAGTGCTCATGTTTATCTATGTGAAAAATTAAAATGTTATGTTTTTAGGCTTATGAACATCAGTAGAGTTCCTTTAACTTCTTTAGAAAGGGCAAGCATGTGTTTTTATAATGTTAAAATAATGGTTTTAGAGCATGTTTGGTGCTTGTTAACTGAAAAAGTAGCGCTAAAACAAAGTAGTATTTGGACTTCCATACAAAATACTTAATCACTACAACCGTACTTATTGCAAAAAGGAAACAGAAGGAAAATGGTTCAGGTAATTGGCCATTTATAATATTTTAGAAACTATTTTAGTAAACCAAAAATAAAAGCTTTTGAGAAACAAGAGGGGCATGATGGCCCTGAGGTCGCTCACCTGTATATAGGCCCACCCAACCCCCACCCCCCAACGTTGCAGGGCCAATTTAACCCAAGGGCTTTTATTTGCACAAACTTGGTAGACACCCATAAGAAGATGTTTCATGCTAAACATCTAAGCTCTAGCTCATTGGGCTTTTTAAAAGAAGATTTTTTTTAAAGTTTTTACTATACACATATAGTAAAAACAACGACACCCCTGGGGCCGGGCCAGTTTTGACCCCAGGGCTTTTATTTGAACAAACTTTGTAGACACTTACTAGAAGATGTTTCATGCTTAATATCTAAACTCTAGCTATTTGGGTTTTTTCAAAGAAGATTTTAAGTTTTTGCTATACACATATAAAGAAAATCAATGACCCCCGGGGCGGGGCCAATTTTGACCCCAGGTCTTTTATTTGAACAAACTTTGTAGACACTCACTAAAAGATGTTTCATGCTTAATATCTTAACTCTAGCTATTTGGGGTTTTTCAAAGAAGATTTTTTAAGTTTTTGCTATACACATATAAGGAAAATCAATGACCCCCGGGGCGGTGCCAATTTTGACCCCAGGGCTTTTATTTGAACAAACTTGGTAGACACCTATTAGAACATGTTTGATGCTAAATATCTTAGCCATAGCTCTTTGAGTTCTTTAAAAGAAGATTTTTTAAGTTTTTACTATATGCATAAAGGGAAAATCAATGACCCCCCGGGCGGGGCCAATTTTGACCCCAGGGCTTTTATTTGAACAAACTTGGTAGACACTTATTAGAACATGTTTCATGCTAAATATCTTAGCTCTAACTCTTTTGGTTCTTTAAAAGAAGATTTTTTAAGTTTTTACTATATGCATATAGGGAAAATCAATGACCCCCTGGGGCGGGGCCAATTTTGACCCCAGGGCTTTTATTTGAACAAACTTGGTAGACACCTATTAGAACATGTTTGATGCTCAATATCTTAGCCATAGCTCTTTGAGTTCTTTAAAAGAAGATTTTTAAGTTTTTACTATATGCATATAGGGAAAATCAATGACCCCCCGGGGCGGGGCCAATTTTGACCCCAGGGCTTTTTTTTTTAACAAACTTGGTAGACACCCATTAGAACATGTTTCATGCTAAATATCTTAGCTCTAGCTCTTTGGGTTCTTTAAAAGAAGATTTTTTAAGTTTTTACTATATGCATATAGGGAAAATCAATGACCCCCCCCCCCCCCGGGGCGGGGCCAATTTTGACCCCAGGGCTTTTATTTGAACAAACTTGGTAGACACTCACTAGAAGATGTTTCTTGCCAAATATCTAAGCTCTAGCTCTTATGGTTTTTTAAAAGAAGATATTTAAAGTTTTTTCTTTCGGTTGCCATGGCAACCAGAGTTCTGCATGGAATTAAATTCTTTGAACAATTTTTAAAGGTGACCACCAAAGGAACATTCCTGTGAAGTTTGGATGAAATTGGCTTAGTGGTTTATGAGGAGATGTCATTTAAAGTAAAAGTTTACAGACGGACGCCGGACGGACGCCGGACGGACGCCGGACGAAAAGCGATCACAAAACTCACCCTGTCACTTTCTGACAGGTGAGCTAATAAAAAACCAAAGCATTTCTGTGGCATAATGGGCCTTTAACAGGTTGCAACCCAAGTTAACATCCCTTATATCTGGTCACAGTCTGCATTAAGGTCAGACCTACCACAAACTTTTTATCTTCACATTCCAAAAATCAATGACTTGAAACATTAACAACAGCTGTCAGAGGAGACAGTGCGCTCATCTAATTAAGTATTGAACACAGTAAAGAAAGACTGAACTATGAAAATAGACAGTAATGAACCTTCTCATTATGTTAGTAATGACCAGGAACAATTAACTTAAGTAGATATCTTGTAGATATCAATTCATTTATAAGATAAAAGTAAAATCCATTAATATAACAAGTTCAAAATTCAAAACCTTATTACATATGTTGAAAAAATTGGTGCCAGAGGTATGAACCTTGTCAAATCTTATTTGGATGATGATAAGGAACATATATTTGAAATTTAAAGTAAATCCTTTAAGAAATAAACCAGTTAGTTGGAAAAATATTTTCCTAACTTTAATCAGTTTTGAGTTACAGTAAAAAAAAATTTACTGCTCAAAATCTTGAAGCAGAGGTGAATAGAGCAGCTCTCCATATAGTAAGTAAAGACAATCTAGAAATTGAAATCAAGAAAGTCCATTTTGAAATTTCACAGGATCAACATCTCTCAATATTTGTTAGTGCCAGCACTATCACTAAAATATAACAGCCCAATAATTATCAAGAATCTACTCCACACGCCCCCAGCTCGGTTATGTCATCTTCCTCCACATCAATTCTATCTGTACTCCCTGTCTCTCGTAAAAATCTCTCCCTGAAAATACATCAATGTTTGATAAATAAATAACTTTAGAAAATAACATTGAACATTTTGTAAATTTTAAAAAACGTTATTCATTTTTCAAAATTGTAAAAAAGTTCTTTTGTTATAAATATATTTAACTACTGTAATTTAATTTCTGTTATTTTTCTTTCTTTTTTTTAATAAATGCTAAATAATAACAACATATATATGGAACTACTTTTAATATATTTATACATGTCTTAAAGTCGCGTTTTTATTACGATAACAAAACTGTCACTTTTTAATTGCAAAATCCAAAACAATTTAAATACCACACTATTTTACTTATTCTGGATGTTCCCTTATTTTCAAAAAACATTTTTACACAGTCTGAGTATTTAAAAAGAAATGACAAAATAATCTGATCAAATGCTTCTTTTTTAAATATACGGTAGGTATGAAAAAGCTTGTATATACGAGAGGTTATCCAAAAATTTGTGGACTTTTTACATATCTCTTGAACATCAACGTGCATTGTAGTGAAATTTTATCAGCATACCTTGTAGAATATTATTAACACATTTTGAAAGGAACAGTTACCTGCGTCAATAAATAATGATTTTATATTGCTTTTAAATAAGCGATGGTAGAAAAGCGTAATTAGTCATCGTATTTTTTTTGCTAAAAAACTAATAATAAACATAGAAAACCCGCCACACATCGCATGTTTCTTCTATTATGTCAATTACGTAATTCTTTTAAATTATGGATGTCTTTCCGTTAATTTTTGTTGATATCGCTAGAATCGACAGACGCCGATATTGTTTACAACGTGAAAATGGCGGAAACGCAAAAATTAGAAAATCACGTGATCATATTTTTGTGTAATTTGGCAATGTAACCTACAAAAACATTTGAAAAAAATCAGCAGGAGAACAGAGAAAATAAAATTTCAAAATCATTAGACTTATTTAAAGTGGTTAATAGCATAAGAAATTAAGTGATGGACATTACTTTGAGAAGCAGTAACGGTTTTTGACTGCGTTACGTTGAAGCACAAGTTGTACTGTACGTTATTTTGACGTTGACGTCAATAACATTTTGGAGTGCACTGCTGTCGCCGACATGTGTTTATGTAAAATTAAATAGTGTTGTAATATAAGAAGCTACTCACATGATTTTTCTGTGTTTATTTTTTATTTTTTCTTCTAAGCAGTGTAAGAATTTTAAATCAATATCTCAAATATTTTACGCAACAAAGGAAGTCCACGAATTTTTGGATAACCCCTCGTATGTAAGTAAACTGAAGTTTATACATACCAGTATACAGGAAACATATCCCTCACTTCTTCTGGTGATAATTTATTGTCATCTACTTCACGAAGAACCCACTTCAAACAACTTGTTCCCAGTTCCTGTTACACAAAATATGTTTGATATTTATAAATCAATTATAGAACAAATGACCTTGGTATACCACTAGGATAAAATTTTCAGTCTGCCCAGTCAAGAAAATGTATCTTTGTTCACATAATATTATAAAGCAGTTCATGTAACTTGTTTTTCAATAAAATACAAAAACACTTAATCTCATTCAGCAACTTTTAAGCTTTACTGGTGAAAGATTACTTTAAAATACTCATTTGTCATTACTTTGGCACAAATAATCACAGAGTATGACCTCCAAATTTCCATTAGCTTGCTGGACAGCATGGTCACATGAAAGAATCGTAAGTCCCTAGAGGGATTTTCCCCATAAGAAAGTGAAGTACAGGGTCATCACAAAACTTGTGAATATAGTCCACACCAATAAAGGGGACAACATTTTACATAACAGTGCAAAAATCACATTCAGTCTGGGATGAAAACTCAACAAATCAGTTTCCTAATATCCACAGATATACAACAACAACAACATTTATTTAGTAATTAAGCATAACAAAGCTTTTAGCCATAATGTACCACTGACAAAGTAAATCAAAGCACAGAAGGCGCTGAATTTGTTTGGGTCTCAGAATGTCAGAAAGGAGAAGGTTGTGAGATTATAAACCAATTTGTTTTTGTATAGTGCCACCAATGCTTTCCAGCATTTTAATTGTAGTAAATTGGCTATAATACTAATTGCAACACTGATATTCAATCCAATGTTTATTTGAATTAAACAATTTGAAAAAACAAGAACTGTCGGAGGACAGTAACGCTCGACTATTCGAAAATTTGTCACAAGGGTGTTTCATTGAGTATAATAATGCTTACCTATATGAATACATAAAATTGTCCGAAAAGGTACAAACTCTTCAAGTTTCAATACATTCCCTTCAGTAGTTATGGAGAGACAAGCTTACATGCAAAAACTTTACCAAGAATTCATGAGTCGAAAAAGGGGCATAATTATGCAAAAAAAGCAAATCAGAGTTATGGGACTTGTACCAATCATCTAAGATAATCACAGAGACCAAGTGTGTGAAGTTTCAATCCATTCCCTTCAGTAGTTATGGAGATACCAGCTTACATGCAAAAACTTAACCAAGAATTTCTAAGTTGAAAAAGGGGCATAATTATGTAAAAAAGCAAATCAGAGTTATGGGACTTGTGGCAATTATCTTAGATAATCACAGAGAACAAGTGTGTGAAGTTTCAATCCATTCCCTTCAGTAGTTATGGAGATACCAGCTTACATGCAAAAACTTAACCAAGAATTTCTAAGTTGAAAAAGGGGCATAATTATGTAAAAAAGCAAATCAGAGTTATGGGACTTGTGGCAATTATCTTAGATAATCACAGAGAACAAGTGTGTGAAGTTTCAATCCATTCCCTTCAGAAGTTATGGAGATACCAGCTTACACGCAAAAACTTAACCAAGAATTTCTAAGTCGAAAAAGGGGCAAAATTATGTAAAAAAGCAAATCAGAGTTATGGGACTTGTGCCAATCATCTTAGATAATCACAGAGAACAAGTGTGTGAAGTTTCAATCAATTCCCTTCAGTAGTTATGGAGATAACAGCTTACATACAAAAACTTTACCAAGAATTTCTAAGTCGAAAAAGGGGCATAATTATGAAAAAAAGCAAATCAGAGTTATGGGACTTGTGGCAATCATCTTAGATAATCACAGAGAACAAGTGTGTGAAGTTTCAATCAATTCCCTTCAGTAGTTATGGAGATAACAGCTTACATACAAAAACTTAACCAAGAATTTCTAAGTCGAAATAGGGGCATAATTATAAAAAAAAGCAAATCAGAGTTATGGGACTTGTGCCAATCATCTTAGATAATCACAGAGAACAAGTGTGTGAAGTTTCAATCCATTCCCTTCAGTAGTTATGGAGATACCAGCTTACATACAAAAACTTAACCAAGAATTTCTAAGTCGAAAAAGGGGCATAATTATGAAAAAAAGCAAATCAGAGTTATGGGACTTGTGCCAATCATCTTAGATAATCACAGAGAACAAGTGTGTGAAGTTTCAATCCATTCCCTTCAGTAGTTATGGAGATACCAGCTTACATACAAAAACTTAACCACAGGGACGCCGACGCCGACGCCGACGCCGACAAATGGGTGACTGCATTAGCTCGATTATTCTGCGAATAGTCGAGCTAAAAATGAGTTGCCTTAACTGGGATTTGAACTCCAGACCTCTAGCTTCCTAAGTGAGCGCGCAAACCCCTCGGCCACGGTGAAATTATTTATTAACGGCCTGAAGAAAACCTTATTATTCTAAACTAGAACTCCGCGAGTCGGATGTGTCGCCTTGTGAACAATATAGTTTAGGAGAAATGGCCAGAACAAAAATGAAATATGAAAACTAACAAAGGGCAATAACTCAAAAAATAATAAGTGCAGAGCAGCAGTTTCTGTGCACTGCACTTCTTATCATTAAGATCTATCATTCTATGAAGTTTCAAGTCCATATCTTTTAGAATTTATGAGAAATAGCCTGGACAAAAATAAAGTTTGAAAAATAATAAAGGGTAATTACTCACAAATAAGAAGTGCAGAGTACTGGTTCTTGTATACTGCACTTTTTCTTAATGAGATCTATCATCCTATGAAGTTTCATGTCCATAGCTTTCATACTTGAGGAGAAATGACCAGGACAAAAACAAAGTATGAAAATTAACAAAGGGCAATAACTCAATAATAAGAAATGCAGATTATCAGTTCTTGTGCACTGCACTTCTTCTTAATGAGATCTATCATCCTATGAAGTTTCAAGTTCATAGCTTTTATACTTTCGGAGAAATGGCCAGGACAAAAATTTAGTATGAAAATTAACAAAGGGCCATAACTCAAAAAATAAGAAATGCAGAGTACCGGTTCTTGTGCACTGCACTTCTTCTTAATGAGATCTATCATCCTATGAAGTTTCAAGTCCATAGCTTTTATACTTAAGGAGAAATGGCCCGGACAAAATTAAAGTATGAAAATTAACAAAGGGCAATAACTCAAAAAATAAGAAATGCAGAGTACTGGTTCTTGTGCACTGCACTTCTTCTTAATGAGATCTATCATCCTATGAAGTTTCAAGTCCATGGCTTTTATACATTAGGAGAAATGGCCTGGACAAAAATAAAGTATGAAAATTAACAAAGGACAATAACTCAAAAATTAGGAAGTGCAGAGTACTGGTTCTTGTGCACTGCACTTCTGACGACTCAAACAAATAAAAATGACACAAAATATCATTAGCCATCAAATAATTTTTGCTTAAAGACGCTTACACAATATATAAAGCATATTGGACTTTGAGTAAATTTAAATACACTTTATACACTCATTTCACTGTAAATTCATTCATTACATTCGAGACAGAAACATATGCAAACTCACAAATTAAAGTAGATGTCAAGTTACTTTTTCACAAACTGAAGTTAAATTGAATTCTTAAACACCGGTACAAAACTGCATGCATATCAATTTAGGAAAGATGACCTACCTTCCAAGCTGTAGTGGTAGCATTATCCAGGTGAAGCCATTTCTGAATCTCTCTAACCCTCTTCTCTATCTAAACAAGAAAATTAATACCTTGATTTTACTAGAAACTTAAATACAGATTTACAAGAAACCTGAACACAGATTTACAAGAAACCTGAACACAGATTTACAAGAAATTAAAATACAGATTTACAAGAAGTTAAATCACAGATTCAAATTCTATAGACTTAATACTATATATTAACATAAAATGGGAACAAGATATCTCCTTAAGAAAAGATGTAAATTAAACAGAAGCCTAGTGTTTAAAGTGTTGTTTTTTTTTAATCAGAAGACTATACGCTCAAGTCCTAGTGTAGTAAAGTGCTGGTTAGTTCCAGGAAGTGGAATTGAAAGTGGTTCAAAAGAGCTATAATTAAATAGACAATATTTATTTCTTTAACTTGCTGGAAATGACAGATCAGCCTATGTCAGGTAAATAGTAAGACCAGCCTGCACAGACCAGGCTCATAGTAGCTCATTGCTTTTTGTATTTTGATACTGTATTCTAAGACTGTTCATAGTTTAAAGGCAGGGCACTCAATCTGTTACAGAAATTCAGCAGGTTAAGGGTTAAACTGAGAATAAGGTATGTGTGTAGTCCAATGGTAACACTGCCTAACACCATATTCTGGTGATGAGAATTTGATACTCTATTTGATAGCATGCTTCTCAAAATAAATATTAATAGTTTCTTCCTATGAAATTTTTCACTTTCAGTACATGAAGAAACTAAAGAACTAGTGACTAAATTCTTGAATTTTTAAATTGCTGGATCTTCCACATTCCTTCAAAAACATATAGACCTTTTTATGACGCGGTCTGTTGCTATGAAAAATTGACCGGAAATAGTATTTACTCGCGCATGCGCAATCTGCATAGGGCAAAAAGTATCACCCTACATAGAAATGTAGTAGAAGTTCATAGGTAATTACGAGTTAGTTCAAGGTAAAAATTAGAAAATCATATAAAATAGCTTTTAACCGAAACACAAAAGATACCTTTATAGCTTTGTGGCCAAGATTGCCATAAAAAGGCATAGAAAATATGATTGCTTAAGAATTCAAGCTTACTATCACCGACCTGATAATGAGATAATTTTTGTAAAAAAAAAAAGTGGAAATTTATATATTAGCAAATAACGAAGTCAATTTAATTGTTGTTGAAATCGTACATATGAAAACTAAATTTATAACATATAAAATCGAGTTTATTTATCATTCTGAAAATAAGTCAGAACACGTGATAATGCATTTTTTAGTATTCAGTCCTTTATCCGACTTGGGCTTGACTTTGATGCCAAACATAAATTTTTAAATCATATAAATATATTTAAATAATTTTTCAATTTTTTGAAAAGTTTATCCGGTTTCTCGTAACACATGAAAATGCACGTCACGCACACTATTTGTCACTTTTCAAAATTAATTAACACTGATGAGATTGGTATAAATTAAAGTAAATTAAATTACGATTTTCATAATTTTAAGCAATTAAATGTCACTGTACTAAAACGCCCAGGTTGAATGATATTGTACACTATAGTTGACAAATAACAACCGGTCACATGTCAATCCGTTTGGCACTTACCGCCTTCCCAATCCACTTTCAAAGAAATACCAATTATGTAATATTTAAGAAATAATATATCCCAAACTGTGATTTTATTGCTCAATAACATCACTGTTTGGAGTTCGGATGCGGGGAATTATATCACGAGGGCGTAGCCCGAGTGATATAATGATGCGCATCCGAACGACAAACAGTAATGTTATCAAGCAATAAAATCACCGTTTTGGATATATTATTTCGATTCTAACACGACATTAAGAAATAATGCTGCCGTACATGATAATTAGCTAAATTGCGCCGGATTTGTTTCCGTACTTATTGTCATCGCGTCACATTTTTAGTGATTACGTCACGTGTATAATGATTACGTCACATGTCTAAATATAGAACGTCAAACAGTGATTTTATAGCATAATAACACACACTTTCGGTTCTTCTATGTTCAATAGGGAAAAATGCGGGTCGTGTTAGAATATACAATTATTGACTAGTGTGCGATTGAATATGATGTGATATTCACCGGCAGATAACATATTGACAGAGGCGATAGCCGAGGTCAATATGACTTTCTGCTGGTGAATATCACCATCATATTCAATAGCACACTAGTCAATAATTGTTTTATTATATGAATAGCTATCAGAATTTAAAGAAAATCACAGACAGTACAACTTTATACATGTACAATTTATGCCTGTTTTGTTGAAGCGCGGGAAAAAGAGGCACGTGAAAGGCGTTCAACAACTACGCGAACGCTGGCATACAAAAGTAATTCAAGTTT